TCTGGAATAGATTTCTATTCAACATACTTCTACAGCTTATGGATCATTTTAATGACAAACTGTTTAGAAATGCCTTAAAACAAAAGACACTGTTCAATTGCTTATTGAAATGGTGTCTTCCTGTTCTCTGCTTTTAGCATAATCCTGAGGATCATATAGCACATTCCAAGAGTGTTTCCCACTCAAGTTGTCCCAATTCCTTACAGCATGCACAGCTTCAAACTACAGTTTACAAACCACCATGGCTTGGTTTGCTCATCAGGCCAAGTCAAAGCTGGTGTTATGGCTTGGCCCCATTGATGAATCTGCTCAGAATCCTCAGTGCACACTTCACATCTCGCTAGAGGAAGGTCTTACTCACATCCAAGGACTGGAGAATAGCCCCGTGTGAATCAAAACAGGTGGCTAGGCAGAAATTACGGGGCCATGCTTAAGGTTCTTCTAGGTTTTGACAAGAAGCAGCCGCCGCCGCCGCCCATGAATTGCAGAAAGAATAGTGCAAAATTTAGGTAACGTGCCATGACGCTGTGTCCTACGCAATGCACGAAGAAGACCTTCAGTTACTCTCTTCTGCTGTTTACGTCCATTTTCTGCCAGGCATCTCACCAAGAGTCTGGGAGAGACTCTGGTTGAGGCAGACTCTTCTCTTCGATGCATCATCATTTTGTTCTACGCTAGCAATGTACTTTGCTATCTAGCAAATGGCAGCTTAGAGAATGAAGAAAATGCTAGCAGGATGGTGGCACACGGAAGCTTATGTTTACATGAAAAAAGGAGTGAGAAAGTCCTGCTTCACACCTGGCCCTGTGTCTTGTAGTTGCCAAGGTCCTGTGCCTTTGGGTTCATTCAGTTTGACTACTTCAACAAACAAAGTTTCCAGACAGACTATACAGGATTTTCACTTGCATCAGAGATATTACAGGCTAGAATCATTCTGTATTCTAAAGAATCTAGTCTTAAAACACAATTCATTTCATTGACAAGAAGAGGACTGGCTGAAAGCCAGGCCCAGAATCAGGTTAACTATCGCCAAGCACTAAAAAACAAATAAATCACACACAGTCTTCCTGGTATTTCTCTGATTTAGATTAAATTTAATGTTGGAATTTAGCAACAGGGAAGCCAGCTGACATAATTTATTAGGACTTGCATAAGGAGTTTGACAAAAGCTCTTAAGAGTTGTTAAGGGAGTTGAAAAATTGCAGGAAGGATACTAAATTTCTGTCTAGCATCTCGAGCCATAGTGATAAAATGATTCCTTTTAAACACATCTGAAAGCTTGATAATGTTGTTATTACTAAGTTCGGATTCGTTTCTTTCTAAAGCTGTCACCCTTTGCTTTGAATATTAAAATAGCAAGTTGGACAGGTAGCACTGGCATAACATGGTCCTGTGACTGGGGGAAAGTTGAGTCTGAATGATCTCTGAGAGACCCTTTCTACTCTTGAAAGTCCTGGCAAATGACAGATTTCCAAAGGAGGATGGTGAGGGGGCAACAGTCCAGAGGAGTTTGCAGGATGTGAACAAAAAAGTAGATATGTCTGTTGCAATGGTGCAGTTGAACTTCTTTTTTTTTAATGTCCTAAAACCTCAAACACGAACAGAGCTTTGATCACACTCTTGTGGCCGCCAGCTTGACAGTTTTGACTGCACTGTGTGGACATTTATTTATTTAGCAAATTTATATAGCCGCCCATCTCACCAGAGCGACTCTGGGCGGCGTACCACACTCAGGGCGTCCAGCTCTTGGGACCTGACTGAGGAGCAGTAGGTCATAAATGGGTGTTTCACGATCCCAGGGTTTCAGAGGTGATTTGGCCAGACCTTGTCCAAGCCCTTTTGGGATTCTAAGACACATGGAGAGGGCTATTCTAATCTTTCTCTGAACCTCTGACTGATGCTCAAGTGAGACACAGCATTAAATTAAGTAGTTTATACACTCACAGTTTAAGGGGGTGCCAGAATGGGTACTTAGAGGGTGTGTCTCTCAATGTCTAAAGACATTTCTCCCCACAAGAAACCTTTTCCTTGCACAGTGTTTGCTTTACATTCAATTAATTCCATTACTGTTTTGAGCCATTTTTTTCCTTCCCCCTCCCCCAAGTTTCTCACTTCCATGTTAAACCAGGAGGCTCCCTTTTCTATCAGCTCAGGTCCTGGTGGTCTCTTCCAGAATCTGACCTGTGTTGCACAATCAAGCTTTCTATACATGATCAAATCATGTACAGGTTTTGATTGCATTGTTCTGGCTGCCATCTTGACTTCTTTGACTCCCTCTGCAGATGCCCTGGCATGATCCTCATCTGTGTTCATGACTAGAGGGGGAAAGCTTGCATCATTCAAACCATGGTAGAATTTTTGCCACTATTTATCTCTGAAGGAGGCAAGATTCAACCATACCTTAGAAAAGGAGGCTCAGCTGAGTGAGGATGGCAGAGTTGAGTGATCCTCCAACCCCCCCTTCTATGGGTTAATCTGGACTGATCACACAGGGTCTCCCCATAGCAATTCATAAAATCCCAACAGCCCCCACCATTCCTGGTGCTCCCCATGTGGATCTCCCCTCCCCCTCCCCAACTAAATATCTCACCCATCCTGATATGACATCTCCTGAGAAACTGACCCTCCACACAGAGACCTCAGGAAGCTTGGAGAAGCCCTGAATGGCCCCAAACCTCTCTGATTCTCCTTCAGAGGCCAGCTGAAGTACGAACTTAGTCAGATGTAGAGAGGAACAGCCTACGTGACAAAAGCAGAACCTTGATTGAGCAGGCTCTGGAGAGACTGAGTTAGCAAAACAAGAAGATGCAAGTCTAAAATTGCCAATTAGTCATCCAGCGAGATGCCTGCGCCTGGGAATTAGGTTCAGTAGCCGAGCAGCAACGCTATTTTGTGTTCTAGAGCAACGCCTTTGTACTTCATTTCAACGAGCCTTCCAGAATGCCGAGAAGAGGCACGTTATAAACATTTTGCAGAAAGAGATACTACTGTGAAGACCAGCTTGGGCGGAGGACAACAGGAGCAGACGCTCGTCTAATTAAAAGCTGCCTGTGAGATCATCTCAGCCAAGAGGGAAAGACCCATTTTTTACTGCGCTTCTGAACACAGAATACCTTTCTGACTTAGTAAGGGAAAGTGTGCAAGAGCACATATCCTTGGCAACTTGCTTGTTTAGTTTTATTAAAAAATCAGAGTCTTTTGGCCTCAGCTCCAAATATTTCTGTGCCTATTTCAGCCCTGTTATGTTTGTATGCAAATGCCAGGCTGCAGATCATTAATAGTGGTCTTTGACGAACTGGAAGGAATGCAATGTTGCTCCACATTGTTTTGGTGATAAATTTTCATATCTCATAGTCTTCAGAAGTCTGTAATTTAATAACAATGACCTCTTTCATGGTTTGAGAGGCTCAGGAAAGAAGACCACACATTTTGCTTAGGAGCTATTCAAAAACGGAAAGAAAAATAAGCAGATTTCTATTTTTATATTCAAGTTTCATTTTAAGCCCCCTCCTAATGCTTTCTAGCATGGCATTTGCCCCTTCTTTTCACACCACCATACACCGGATTCACATTTTCATTGACTAAAATCCACCCGGACACGGAAAGTATAGGGAAGTTTAGACTTTGGGGCCAACATTGATCCCTTTGCCCTTGCTTATGGAAGCCTCTTTTTGATGTCCAGAGTTCTTTTGGCAAGTCCTTTTTTCTTTTATGTTATGACTATGGAAGACCTCAAACCCACCACTTTTTACTCTTTTCTCCCTCAAAATAGCAGGAAATTATGCCCCGTGTTAGCAGCTTTGATCGGAGGTCACAAAAAAGGACTTCAGGGAACACTTCAAGATTGCTCAATCCTGATTTATTTCTATTCTCAGGTTCCTGGGACCATCTTTCTTCTTTTCCCCTGGCTGACCAGAGACATTGTTGAAGAGTTGTTGACATTCCAAGAATGCACTGTCCACTGATCATCTTTCTTTGCACTTTTCTCCAATCTATGCCACCATTTTGATTTTGTATCCTTTTATGCCACCTGCAAATTGGATGTGTCATCCCTTTACCTCTCTGTCCAAGACACTGACAAAAATGTTGAAACCTACCAGGCACGCTGCCAAATCCTCTGGGGCCCTACCCGAGACATCATCTATCCAACAGGATGAGGGATTGTTGATGAGCCCGTGTGGATCCACTGAATGAACACCCCACCCAGCCCACATTAACCTGCTTACTAAGTGGAACATAATGGGGACTTTGTCAGGGGCTTTCCTGAGATCACATTATGAGGTCCACTGATCTCCCAAGGAAGGTAGGATAAGGGTGTTCTGGAAAGACCTGATTGATTCAAGATGCTTACAAATCAGTCCGTGACCAGAAGTCAGACGGACTGCCATGGAATCCCCCGATGCCTTTATAAAAAAATGACATTTGCCTCCTCCATCCATCCACCCTCCCATCCCTTCTTGAGGATTTTTCAGGTATAATAAGGTGCACTCAAGTGTATCTCACTGAGAATTTCAGATTTTTCTCCACGGACCAGTATAGCTGATAGCTTTCTATGTGCCTTTGAAAGTACCACAATTTATCATCCAGGATGGGTTCTACCTCCAGAAGAAAGGATCTTATATGAACTAAGGAGCAACTGTATATGTTGACAGACTGATTCCTTCTAAGCACTAATTAATACTACACAATTTAAAGTTGTGCATTTTATACCTAGTGCACCAACCAAAATCACTGCCTAAAAAGGTAAAGGCTTCTTTGAGCTGAACGCAGCTCTTGATGACTACATGTATCTATGTAGTTTTCTTGGCATTGATTGAAAAGTGGTTTGCCTTCTGTGGGGGTGTGGGGGTGTATCTGGTGTGTTCTTTCCAAGCTCCCAGGCTACAGCCCTAGGATCTCCTGTGGTCTCCCATCCAAGTACTGATGAGGTATGATCCTGCGTAGCCTTTTCAAGATCAGCCAAGCGTTGGTAGGTGCTGCCAACAGCTATGATGATTATATATGGACTGCAGTGTTTCCCTGCTTCTCTTCTCTGCCAGCCCAATGCCCTTGGGTTTGCCATCATGATCAAGAAGCCCTGCAGGCCATCGTTTTTTGCCTGCAGAACTGAGGGAAGCCCTCTTTCCTATGTCCACCTTGACTCTGGTTTGGCCTTGTTTTGGTAACAGCTTTATGGAGAGAATTCAAAAGCCCGAAAATCATTTTGTCTTATTTACTGGAAGAACATGTCTCTTGTCCTTTAAAACTCAGTTGTCCCAGGTATCATGAAGTATAAATCAAGATAACATTCAGTTGTGGAGTTTGTTTTTCCTACGGGCCAATATAGCTATGAAGGCTTTTCATGAGTCAAAGGCTTGGGCATCTCGCAGGCATCTTGTATCTTCAACTTCTTGCTGGCTGAAGAAATGCACAGTGCAGTTCAGGGCTCCGGAAGTTGAACATAATTTTATCAACGCAGCAAACTTTTAGGAAGGTATCCATATACTTTCTGTGATGGCAAAAAGATGAAAGACCTAGGTAAAAGGCGTTAGGGTCCTGTATCAACGGTACCGTGTGAAGCTGATCCAGCTCCCTTCATAGGCAGGAAAGAACGACAATTTATTTTCAGTTGCTTAAGGTGATTTTTTTTTTTAATCTGCTCAATTGTGTCCAATTCTTGGAAAAATACTTGAATTTAAATGCTAATCATTTCTTACATCTGAGTCTTTGTAAGAAAGGCCTATTATTCACTCTCCTGTTTTCCAAACACCTTCGAAGAGAGATTACCATCCGGAGAATTCCTGAATATTACACAACTATTTGACATTAGTGCTACAGATTTCAAAATCACATTCTAATACCAGGAAGGCTGAAGTCAGAACTGCGCCTGTCTTCCATAGCACGCAGAGCTCTGTGGGTTGCAGAGCCCTTTTGAAAAACAGCTAGCCCATTAATTTGGGTTGATTGCTGTTGTATTCTGTTTTCCATAGGAAAATGAAGCATCCGTGCATCATTTCCGCTGAATCATATCCACATGAGAAACTCCTTTGAAAGCCCTAAGGCTGGCCTGGAGTAGAGACAAATACAATTGCATTATAAATTAATAATGGAAACTGAAATGGAAACTCAGTAGATGCTATCTGTTTGAATGTGGTCTGCCTTACAAGATAATAAATATTTCACCCATGCGAGTCCAGATTTCTCTATCCCTTCCCCAGGATGCTTTTCCCAAAGCAAAATAGATGCCAGATTCTTTACAAATGTTGTTACATTAAAGGGATCGCCTTATGTAATTTTAACATCAGCCAAAGTGAGCTTTCTGTGAGTAACTATAGTACTCTCAAGGAAAATGTATTTCTCAATAATTATGCAGTTACGCTGGGACAACGTACAGGTTTGCCACTAACTGTGGGCAACCTACTTGCTCGCGCACCGATGACGTAACAAACCTGGTCAGCAAGTTTGCTGGTTAGCCTCAAGGTATATCTTGGGGGTTGGCTGGCCAACAGAAATAAATCACTGAAATAAATAAAGAAATCTGCTTTAAAAGAAATCAACAAGTCACATGATTCCCAGGAGTTTGGACTCTTGCACAGGGCTTAAAAAGCACTAAGCCGGCTGTATCTCCCATCTTCTCCTAGAGTCTCATTATGTTTATGCCTGCATGGCAGTGCCCTGGGGTTTTTGCGGGGAGAAGCAAGAACGGAAGAAGAAACAGGACATTACCCTGTCTAAAGTTTGCGACACCCTCCAGAAGGATGCAAAATCCTGCTGCAGCGGCCGTCGGCCTTCCTGTCCTACGTGGGAAAGATCTTGGCAAAGCCGGGTGGGTGACGTGAATACCTGATTTCCCTGGACACTGATGAGTTGCAGACATTTACCACGCGTTTCTAGAAAACAGGGACGCACTTGAAATCTTGACCCAACTCTAGGAAATTCTGTTCGGAAGGTATGCATTGAATGGATTCATCTGTTGAAGTGTTTCTCAACCTTGGCCACTTGAAGACGTCTGGACTTCAACTTCATGCTGGCTGGGGAATTCTGGGAGTTGAAGTCCAGACAACTTCAAGTGGCCAAGGCTGAGAAACACTGATCTATTGAGACTAAAACGTGTTGTAGAGAAGGCAGGATCCAAAGGCAATGAAGATCTTTCTCCACCTTCCCATTGGGAAGGTAGGATGGGGTGTTTATTCCATATTCTTGCATTCTGCTTTCCTTCCATGGAGCTCAGATGAAGTGAGACTTAGGTTGACAGCTCCCTTCGAAATTCAGTACCTACCATAAAAGGCCTCGTGGCACAGTACAAACTGAGTCACTTTCCATCTAGAGTTGTTGGGAGGCCCCAGTCTGAAAGTCACACGTGAAATATCCCACTTGGCCCTCAAGACAGCCCCCATGGACAGCGACCACGGGTTGTGCTCAGCCAAGGAGCTGTGGCTTAATAGTGAATAAACCACTGTTGGCCGGACTCCCACGATAACTAGGCCATAAACCATAGTTAACACGCTACAGTGACTGGGTTCGTAGAATACACTAAGCCAAACCCAACCCAACCACATTATGGCACGGTGTCCTATGTTCATCTAGCTCTGGCATCCGACTGATTTTATTTTCACATCAAACCAGTGACAAAATAACTGGCCTCGGATCACCCAGAGAGACCGATGGGGAAACTGCAATCAAACCAGGCCTCCCTGATACACAAATCCGTTCACAATGGCGCAGCCAACCACCGTAGCCTGGAATTCCCATAAAGAAGGGGTAATGGGAAAGTGACTTTTTTTTCCAAAAAGAGACCGAGAGGGAGAAGGCCCAGGGGATGCATGGGGCGTCTGCTGCATTCTTGTGGCTAACGGAGCCGAGAATGCCGACGGTTTGCGGAGGCGTAGGTGCAGACGTGGGCTCCAACTAAGATTGGAGGGGAGAGGCCCCCGTGCAGAGGTGCCGGGGGCACAGAAGCCGGTCTGCGGCTTTAGACCGGGACTTCAGACCAGGTCTGGCACGTCCTGGCCAGTATCCGTGGAGAGGCGGAACCTCTGGTGGTTCTGCCAGGTGGGGAGAGCCTGGCGGCCAGAACCTTGGCACCTGAGCTGTGCCAGCCGCGGGGCCAGGCCAAGGGCTCATACGTTACCAGTGCGGCCCTCGGAGTCGCTCAGACAGAACAGCCTTCTGTTATACGGAACCTTCTCGGACGTTTTCTGTCCGCTGGAATGTCTCGTTTTGTTCGTCTTGCTCCGTCGTCGAGGGAGGTTCCCAGCCGTCCAGGTGGGATTATCCGGCAGCCGGCCCTCTCCTCTTCTGCTACGACATCTGACATTTGCCTCACGGTCCTTCTCCCCGGCTGCGGGCCTTGGAGCGGCTCGGGGCAGG